AAATCCACCATCTGGGTAATGAGTCTGGAGACAATCTCATCCTAAAAGGCTTCTTTAAGCTAGCCAGGCCAATATGTCATTTAGAATAATGAAATTGTCACATGTTTGCAAGAGGGCTTTGACTGTCCTTTCCTTTCACACATGGTGGAAAAAGAAAAAAGTGCTGGAGAAGATAAAATGCTCTCCAGCCCCCTTGTATGGTTGTTTGGAAGCAGGAGGACCAAAGTTTCTCCTGCAGTTGTGTACAGCTCTTAGAAGGATTGTGGAAATTCAGTGGCTACTGCCACTCATATTTCTCTTGCTCTGTCAAGTAAAATGTGTCTTATCCAGTCACTAATGCACAACAATCCACCTCCTAATAGAAAATGCCCCTGGAATTCTTGCCATTTTTCCCAAGATCAGAGCAAATGCACAACTTTTCCATAAATCTGAGGTGGGGGTGCAACATCAGCCATTGGAGGAACAGCCACTATAAGCTCTGCCAAAGAGCTCCTGATTATTGATCAGGGGCAGTTCATTAGTGTTTAGGTCTTACCATTAGTTACTGCACAAAACAGGTGAACAGAGAGACAAATTACTCACTGAGCTGTAAAAAACCCAATGGGGAAAAAAACACATGGCAAGGCAGAGTGAATTACTGGAGCCTTTTACAGCAGAGGTGGCAACACTCAGGATCCCACACCCGAGTATGAACCTCAGAAATGTGTTCTCATGTTGATACAGAAAAGCACATGCACCGTTCTAGACGTTTATTTTCACATGGCAATTCTGAATATTGGCTGTAAAAGGAATAATATACCCTTGACTCATTCAGCAAGCACAGCAGATCTTGTGCACTGATTGCATCAGGAGTTTTTCGTGCAAAACCAGTGTGTAATTGTGCAATTAAAATCTCTAGCAATGCAGAAACAAAAGTGGATGGTGCAGTCTGCCTCCAATCCAGCTGCAGCTAACACTAAAACTCTTACCTGCAAGATAAAAACACGTTGTGGGGTTATGAACTACAACAGAAGGCTGAAAATCTATGACTGAAATATTCACTAATCACGTACTAATATGGTTTTGTGAATGATGACATCACAGAGATAGGACAGAAACCTAAACGATGGATCCTCTGCCACCTCTCTGGTATTCCTGCTTGCTTTATTTGTACTTCTATGTTACCATTTTTTTCTCTTACTGAAAAATAAATGAAACCCCTCTGGAAAATGGCTTCGTCTTTGGGAAGGCTTAGCAGCCAAAATAACACTATATTGAATTAATATACATAATTATATTGGCTATTCTATCTGCTTGACTTTTCTCACAGCAGTTCAGAACAAACAAGGGTGTTTAAAAGTACTTCCCACCCAGCTGCTTTTCCATTTTACAATAAGTGCTCCTGAGGAACTAAAGTCTTCTGTTTCACATTCACAGCAACTACAGCTAATTTCTACACAAGATTTGTCCTAGGTCTGTGAATATGGGCTGGGTTTTGCTGGGATGAAACAAGAGTGCATCTTCCTGCTAAAGAAAAATACAAAAATCAGGGTGTCCTGATTGGAAAAGACCCAACAGGGCTACACTAAAAGGGAATGCATTAGGAAGAGCATTCCCAGCAGGTCAGGGAGAGGATCCTCCAGGAAGGTTGGACCAGATGACCCACTGTGGTCCCTTCCAACCTTCTAAGTTATTCTACTTCTTTTCCTTATCATCTATACTGATCATTTGTGGTCCAAGATACCACTGTAGCAAATTCCTAAGTAGCTGCTTTAGTGCATTGCAAACTTGCATTTCAAAATGACTGCTCAATGACAAGACGTGCATAATTAACATTTAAGACTGTTAAATTTTTGTGAGTGAGTAGAGGCTCGATCTGGCACTTGAAATCTTGCCTTTGAAGCCCAGGAGAGTCAGAGAACTGGTGTCTGAGACAAAACAGTGTCCCATTTCTTCTGTGCAATTAAAAACAACCACTGAGTTTTAGATAATAACAGAGGACAAAATACCCAAGTGCTATTAAAAATATTTAACCACACACAAACGGTACATATTTAAAAGACCTTAGAGACTGACATGTTATGCAAACCAGTAGAGCTCTCATGGTTTAATCTGCAACTAAAACATGAACATTTTAGTACATTAGTACAATCTAATGTGTATAAAGGTTATAAATATATGTGTGTGTGTGTGTTATAGGTTATATATAAAAATGCAGATGGCTACAGGCAAAAGACAGTAAGTTAGTGCTGGCTGGCCCTCACTCAGACCCTACTCCAGTGTTCTCAAAGTCCTTTGCAACTATTGATTAACCTGTTTTATGCATCTCAAGCTTCTAATTATTTATAAAAAGGATGAAGTAACACTGATTAATTATAAAAAGGATGAAGGTCAGCACTGTAACCAGAAATGGAAAGGAAGGATTTGGGGCCCCACTCTTTTAGGTTCCAGATAGTTCACCTTCTAAATGTCATATGTGGACAGCACACCTAAACTGTAATCTGGAGTTCTTCAATTAAACAAAACCACTCAAAAAGCTAGATGTGTATTTTTTCCAAGGCAGGAAAATTACTGTAGGACACTAGACAGGCAACTGCTTGAAATTTAGCTTTGAGTTCTGAGATCTTAAAGAACTCTAAATTTTGAAGTCTTCACTACGCCCATAAGCACTTTCTAGAGGACTGGCTTTATGATGAGAGGGCAAAAAAAGAATCACCACAGAAAGTTCAGCAAATTTCTGTGGTTTTTTAGAGCTTACATTACCAGGGTGTAGAAAGAAAGTGATTTCCCAGAGAGGCTGTGACAAAGCTCTCTTTTTAGGGTGAATGAAGCCCAGGGACAGAAAGAGCTGCTGAAGAACAGTAGTGATCAGCAGGCACAGACGTGTACTACAGCCTGAAATCTAGCAGACAGCTAGTCTAGCCCACACAAAAGAGCTGCTTCTCTTCCCAAGTTTTCTGGCTGGTGGGTTGGCTGATGGGACTTTGCTACTTCTGCATCTGCTGCTCTGATGGATTAATGACAAGCCACTTATTACTGCTATTATTGTCAGTGTTGATGTTTCCACTGGACATGTCACCAGCTGGTATGGCAACTTCATTCAGCACTGCCTTACAGCAAGCAAAAAAATCTCCCAGTTTGGCTGGAAGACTTTCATCAAGACTTTCTCTCCCATATGGAGTAAGCAAATATCTTCAAAAGACCTCGCAACACTCATCTTCCAGGACCATAAGGGGGTGGGAGATGAGTTAGCAACGCTGTGAAACATGTAGTGTGGAAGTTGAGATATAACCTGAAGTTGCATAAAAGATGGAAAGGAAAGCAATCTTTTTTTTTCCCTTGAAGAACAGGTCATGCCAGATAGCTCAGACAACTTGTGCAGCGTGACAGAATTTGTGCACAAAGGGAACGTGGCAGATCTGATTTTGCAGAAACATTATTTATGGGTTAGTGGGTGGACAAGAGTTTCCTCAACAGATTTTTGCAGATCTAATCATACACAGAAAGTTCAAATGGCTCCCTTTAGCCTCTACTTAGTGCTGCTTTATAGATAGTGTTTTGCTTTAATTTAATTTCTCTAGACTTTTAATAAGACTTTTGGTACTTTAGTGCCTGGAAAATTATTCCTGACACTGGAAATATGGTGCCTTGGTTATGAACACTGCAATGAAGATATGAAGTTGCCAGACATATTGTAAACAGAGCATAATTACACTATTTAGAGTTGAACATCAAAATGGGAAGAGATGCCAAGTGGCATTTCTCAGAAGTTAATATTGGGACTGATACCATCTAATATCTTCCCAAATAATTTGGAAAATGAAGTAAAGTGCACGCTGACTGCATACACGGGAGATGCAAGAGGAAGATGAACTACAGCACAGCAGGTGGGGAGGTTGAAAAGAAGAACCAGAAGGATCTGGAGATCTGAGAGGGAGAGAGGGAAGGGTGCACTTAAGAGGGAAACTATTTCATGTAGAATAATAAGCTTAGAGAAAATTAACACCCATCTCGAGCAACCAAATGGGAAAACGCCAATTTTCATTAAAAAAAAAAATATATATCCAAGAGATTTCACAGTTTATTCACACTGAAACTTCACATTGGGGTACATGCATCAGGTTTGACAACTTGTTTGCTACATTTCAGCCTGATGTGATTTTAAAAGGAAGAATAACAGATTCCCTTCAAAACCTGCCTTTTAAAATGCAGTTTGACTTATTTTAAACGTATACCAAATGCTCAAAAAAGACCTAATTTACAGTCCTGTTAGCAGAAATAACACAGAGTAATGTATCATCAGGAAGAGACACAGAAGCAGCACATACAAGGCCCAAGGTGGAAGTTAGGAAGCCAAAATCCAAGTGTCTGATACTGTCAAGGAGCTCTAAGTGTCCACTGTGCAGTAGAGCAAAATCCATGAAATACACTGATTTTTTGACTTTAGAAACTCAGTTATACCTTGGAGAAAGCTATTACTCTATAAAGGAAAGATTCTGAGGGATTTTTTTTAAAAAAAGGCCTTCATAAGTGCTGAAATAAGTTAAATGACTACTGTATACACTAATAAACCTTAAATATTGTCTGTAAATTAACCATAAATATTACCTGTAAATTATCTATCACCTGCAAATTATCTATTCAACATTATCTGTAGGATAGAAATTGCTAAAAGGATGTACCCTAGCAATAAAAATCAACCTGTAATTAGATAAACTCACCAAGGATAGAAAACATACTTGCTGACACAAAAGCCCCCTACATGGACTATGCTCCTGGCTGAGAGTTTGAAGAGCACACTTGTCTTTTCCCCATCATTATTTGGTTAAACATACCCCCAGTAAAGTACATTATTTTGTCACAGGAATGATTCATTAGGAGAAAATGACACAAACTTTATCAAACTGAGTGTTACTTTTCTTCCTAACACAGCAACCCAAACACAGCTGATGCACACAAAATGGCCTGATGTGACAGCAATCAACAACAGTATTTTTAGGTATGCTTAAAAACCTGCTTACCAAGGGGAGCCATATATTCTGAATCCCCTCACCGTCACTTCAGAGTCTTGAAGATAGATGCAGTTTGTTAGGAGAGACTGTACATTTTCATAGCTCTCTGGCTTCAGCTTAGAAACAGAGGGGAAATAGTAAAAGTCCTGCTTGATTAAGTCAGCCATGAATTCCTGGTCAAAGGTCAATTCATGATTTCCTGCTATCACAATCTTGTATTCATAGGGCAGGCTACCTAAAACAGCGAAAAACAAACACGTTACTTGTTTTATGGAAGATCTGATGGAAGAAAACAGACAGACAAACTGTTATTGATTCCTGTAATATTCTCACATACTTGAAACGATAGAGCACGTCCCTCCTCCACGTTATTGTAATTCCTGGTGATTCCAGGTAAATGACATTACTGCCTCTTCCATGGCACACTGTGATTTAGCACGCTTAGCATTAATGTGTTGAAATTACTTTCAACTCATCAACCTTAAAAACCAGTCTGCAGACTTCTGCTCTACTATTTACTTCTAGTTAATTGCCATTTGTGCTGCAAGTATCATTTACTGTGACAGTGATGATAACTCTTTGACAGAAATTAGGGTTCAAAGAAGATCAGCTTCGGAAAATCATGTCAGCTCCCTTCTCCCCCAGCTCAGGTCTTTGTCAGCTCGTGCTGGGAGCTCTAACACCCTCACAGCTCGGGTCAGCCAGAGGGGTCTGCTGCCCTCTTTGCCCTGACATTAATACCAAGCCTTCAAGGAAGGCAGGGATTTGGTTCAGCTGTCAAAACCCCACATCCCACAGAGAGATCTCCCAGTCTGCCTCTATCCCGTGTTTTTCCCCTGCTCCATTTTCTCAGTGACTTCCTCGGATCCGCGGACTATAATTTAAAGTGACTCATGTTCGAGAATATTTTACAACCCGTCTTTAGTGAAGAACCTTAGCACAGCCTCCTGAGGAAGGCAGGGACACATATGCCCACACACGTGGGTTCTTCCTGAGAGCAGCACCGAAACAGAAACTTTCCACCCGACTCTGCCTTCGGTTATTCCCTGGATTCTGCCCCTGGGAGTCGGCATCAGCTGCCTCAAAAAGCTCAACAGAAACCTTTAAGTACATCTGAGAGGAAACAAAGACAGAAACTGTGTAAAGCTGCATTCATCAGCTTTGTTTGTGCACTGTGAACTTCAGGACAGTCAGAAGAGGAGATTGGGACCAGAAAAGAAGTATTTTATTGAAAATCAAACCCGCCTTGCACAGCAGCAATCTCGTGGGTTTTTTAATTCTAAAAGTGTCTTGCTGATAACACAGAAATCTTTAGCAGTGGCAAAAGTTGATATGATAGGACTTCAGAATAAAATGCAACAGTGTGATTCAGAGTCAAGGGAACAGAAGACACAGTGCTGAACTTTGCCAGATGAAAAGATGAGGGTAATTCTTAAGTACAAGTTTCAGACACTTGTAACACCTGTATTAGGAAAACTGAGTGTACAGATTCCAGTCTTTCCTATGGACCCAAGACATATGTGTCTTCAGAATACTTAACAGAAACTCTTTTCATGTATTTATTTAAATATTGAAGATTCAATCATTTACCTTTTTGCTTCTCAAACAGCCTTTTGCAGATGTGTCCTCCACCCCCACAAGTTTCCCAGGTGTGTGCACACATACACACACAAGTGAAAAATGCTGTTTACATGCTGCCATATGCATGGGCATCTACAGGCCTAAAAGAATTCTTGGGAAACAGGAAAAGAAAGAAACCCACAATATTGCTAACAATTCCATTTCTGTTCTGTTTTGTAAGTCTTTTCCAGCTCATCTGATCCATCCATCTAGCAGCCAAGAACCTGTGTGAGCTGGTTATAGTTGTTGCTTCCACTAATGTATTTATGTCATGTTGCTGTCTGTGGGTGTTACTTAGGCAAATTAGCAAATTACTCTAAATGTACAGTTACATTTATTATAGTGGCGGCCAGAAGTGCTGCTGTAGTTACAGGTCTGTCAGCTTTTCAATTAACAACTGTGGTTTTTGATGAGTTTGCAGCTCAGTTAGCTGTTTTTTTTCTTCTTTCATCCCACACCAGGCCATGGTAAAACTAATTCCCTCTCTTTGTCCCCTCAACTCTTCCTCTTCACCCTTTAAATATTATTTAAATAAAAAAATTATTTAAAAAAAAAGATATTTTGTTCAAACCTTTTTCCTTAGGAGACTTTAGAACATGCTTTGCTTTTCACTCCGAGTGCTGTCGAAGCACAAAGTCAGCCTTAGTATAAATCTTTGAAACCTTGTTCTTGGCTGGGCACTGCTCTCATGAACTATCATGTGTAAAAGCAGCTGCAGATGAAGACCCTCAGTTATCATATTTCCCACCTTCCCTGCTTCCTGTGTGATCCACACTCACCAGTGTTCACTCCAGAGTGCTGAACATCTCTTTGCAGTAAAGCACAGTCCCCAGGGGGACCAACACCACAATCTAGTCTGGTAGGTCAGCACAGTCCTGAGAAATGAATGTTCCAAGTGCCTTTCACAGGAGTAAGATCCACCAAACATCAGCACTACCTGATCAACACCTACCTTAAAACTACCTTAAAGCAGCAACTCCTTCCTGCTTCTGACCTGCAACTTCTTACTTTTCCTTTTCATGCACTATTAATTTCTCTGTATTTTCTCATTGCATTATGTCCTTCCAACCCAAATCCCTACTTTTCCATCCCCAGGCACAGACTACTGCACAATTTGTAGCCTTGCCTTGGTCCTTGGTTACAACCAAGACATGCCCAAGAGCACATGGCCTAATAGCTGCTGTATGGCAGTGTTTGTACACGAGTTCATAATTTAGAACAACCACTTCTCCATTTTTTTTAGGCCAATCCTGATCTCAGATTATTCAAACACTTCCAGGTTGATCGGTTTATTCCCCCACCTGTGCTTAGGATGGAGTAGCTCCATCCAAGAAGACTCTGCAGTGTGTTTTTGTGGGTTTTGACCCCCTCTGGAGTGTGGGAGTCTTTCAGGGAAAAAAAAACTGCTGCAAACAGAGGCAAGTCCAGCAGAGAAGTGTCGGGATGGCTGGGGAATGTGGGATATGGGGAGAGGCCGAGATCTGAGTCTGCTCAGCCTGGAGAAGGTGGAGGGCAGACCCTGCTCTGTCTGCAACTGCCCGGGCTCAGGAGAAAGAGAAGGCCAAGCTCTTCTCAGAGGTGAAAAATGGTGACAAACACAAGTGGGAACATGGTACAAGGAAAGAATGAGGATGCTGAAAGAGCAGAAGAAGTGCCCAGAGCAGCTGGGAGGTGTCCACCCTTGAAGACACTCAAAATTGAACTGGACAAGGTTCTGAGCAGCCTCCTCTCTAACTGGCCCTGCTTTGAAGCGGAGGCTGGACTCAATTCCCCTCCATCCTGAGTGGTTCTAGACTATTTTTAATCTACACTGGAAAACAAACAAGAATTTTAAAGAGCCTGCAATGGTAACAGAAATTAAAAACTCATTTTGTGTTGTGATTCTAATGGAACAAATCTGTGGCACTTTCCCAGGAGTGGAGAGCACATTCCATTAAGTTTGGTGCAAGTTCCTCACACTCATTTAGCAGATGAGAAGGACTAAACACCCAACTGATAGCCAATTAACATTTGATGCCAACATATGGCTTTGCTGGTGGGCAGGTAGCAAAACTTGCTAATACAGAAGCTCTGTGTAGACAATGACATTACAGAAAATTTATGGCTGTCACAGGAATTCTGCACACATATCCAGGACAAAACTAATTCCCCAGAAAAATTAAGGCAGCGAGCACGTAAGGAACAGATCTGCCCTTCAGGAGTGCCAAGAAACACTTGCAAGAACATATGCTATGGGAGTCAAAGATGTGATTTCAAACAAAAAAAAAAAAAAAGGAAAAATTATTAATTTGGGGGGATGTTGCATTTTTTTTTCCTGATCTCTTCTTTTGACCAGCCAAAACAAGATTAAGTGTTTTTGCCCAAAGACCAGGGATCCTCCTGTTCTTGGCGCCTGAGAAGATTCTGCTAAAATATGCCTGTAGTCTGGACACAAACTACAACTAGAATTGGCTGGAAAAGTTTTACCTATACATTTTTCCGTATTAAAATTATTAAAATACCACTTGGATGGAATGGGATATATTTGGAAATTCATGTAGTGATTCTGACATTACCAAGGAAACAAAATGAAGCAAAATGTCAGTTTAAAATATTTTTGGGTGAATAAAAATTTCATTGCTAAGCAAAATTTCACTTTTTATTCTAGAGTAAGGGTTTGGTTGTTTGTTTTTTTTTCCTCTCATAATGTTTAACTAGAAAGAAACTAAACTTATTTTCCTCCATAATCAACCTCTAGCCACTTCCTCCTATTTGGAATTTGGAATCAAAAGAAATGGTTATAAATTAAAATCCTGTCAGGAACACACTGGCTCAAATTCAGTGCTGGGTTTCAGAGGTTCCTTTTTCAGGCCACATCCAACTTTTACCTTCTGCCAATTTGGGATGGGGCTCCAAGACACCATCATTCTTTCAGTCTCTATCTTAACATGGGATCAGGGATTTTCCCCATCCTTTTCCTTCTCTGCCACATGGTCCTTTATCTTTCCTGCCTCATTTTCCCCTCTCCTTCCCATTTTGTAATCTCCCTTTTTATGCAATAAAACACTGGACACACATCTTCCCCTTAATTTAGCAGTTTTAGCAAAAGATACCTTTTTCTTATGGGAAAAAAAACAACAACTTGTAGAAGTACAATGCTTTAGAAGACAAATCATCACACAAAAAATTCCTCCCTGAATTTCCTGCATCGATAGAATTCCTTAGTATTTGAGGTTATTTTATTATCAAAAAGCCTGGGATATCATATTTAGCTTATAATTACCTTATATATAGCCAGATGGTATTATCATCTTACAAGTTTAACTACAAGCCCTCCTCAGAAAGTTTCTTAGCCTTCATTTGCTCAGTCTAAGAATCTGATAGGAGTGCTGGTAACATAACATGTATAAGAATATATATCTCTCTATATATTGTTTAGCTAGTAACATCTTTGTTTATTCCTTTCATTACCGTAGATTGCTAATTAAGAAAATCAACTGAACATCTAATTTTTGGGTGTTTATGCACCAATTACAAAATGATTGCGGCCATTTTTAACTCCTAAACTACAGTAGGTCCTTTTTATGGCGAACATAATTTTTTTTTCCAGAATAACTTGAAGCGCTGGGGAGCCAT